AAGAAGTTAACCTTAAACATTAGAACAAAAATTTTGTTTTCTTCTAAGAAAGCCCCATAATTATATATTGATACATTGAGCATAAAAAAAGATTTATTAATATCTTGTTAAGAGATATTGAGCAGATATATAAATTTAATGAGAGTTTGTTTATATAGATAGATTAATGGAAGTTGAATGATGAATACCTTGCTTTGTGGAATTTGCAAATTATTTTTCTATTTTAACGCTTTGATTACTAGAGAATAGTAATAAGCTAGTTGGGGGGTGTGATTAGTACTTAAAAGTGCATTTTTATCAAGATTTTATATCATCATTTTGCACTCGAAGTATTAATAACTTTTTAACTAAAGCATGTTTTATAATAACGTATCTAATAATATAAGATACATTTAATATATGGTAAATGTTCATTTTAAATGCAGGCCTATCACATAAATGAAAGGATTGATTGATGAATTTAAGAACTAAAATTAAAAAGACAAAGAGATGGCCAAACTTAGAAAAGAGATGTTGATGCAATCCAAACCGGAACACTATTCAGTAATTGGGTCATATTTAGAGCTGTAGATCTTAGATTTAGGTTTAATTTATATGGATGGAAAGGTAAGACATAGGCCTACAACTTTCATATGGAGCTCAAGATCTAAAAAGGCCATTTTCAAGTCCAAATTGTAGCAACAACAAAGAAACCCGAATCTGTCTTCCAGCCCGAGCACTGTTCAGTATTTGGCCCATATCTGGAGTTCTATAAGTCCAAATGAGTTGAATTGTTTACACAAGAAAGATGAGACAATTTTCTACAACTTTCATATTTTTAAGTGGCTCCAATTTTGACGTTATCAATGATGTTTAGGGCAGACAAGAGAAGATAAAGATTGTCACCAAGTCAAAAGTTGGTCACCCACTCATCAATTAGTCATCAAATCAATAATTCCCATTTTTGGTCTATAAAAGGAGGCATTTGCCATACATTTAGGCATCTTGATTTCTAGATCAAGATCATGCTCTTGCTTTCTCTTTTTGTATTTTTTGTAATGTTTATGCTTTGCTTTCATTAATATCAAGTTTATGCCTTTCATTTCCTTAGCTAACTTTTATCTTATTTATGTTCTTATTTTGTTTATTTATTTTTCTTTCATTCATTATGTCTAGCTAAGTTTATTATGTCAAGGTGAAAATGTTACACTAATGGTGTGAGAATAAGTATAGTGTAAACTCAATATGGACTTTAATGTTTGATACTAACATGTTTTGTATTTGTTATCTTGTTCACTCTTTAATACTTTGCTTGTTAAATGACTAATTTTGATTTATGTTGTATAACACTTGTACAACAAATGCTTGACACTTTCATAGCCCATACTGTATGGTATAACCGACACCTGAGTTATGAAAGGAACTTGATTTGTTGTTAACATAAGTTATAATCATGAATGCTTGATGAGATATACAAGTATTAGCATTAATTATTTACAAGTATTAGCATTAATTGAATAAGATGACTAATGTAATCATGTTAACAATCTATAATTTGATTGGAACCTCCTTTGTGTGTGGTTTACAATTAACTAATAAGAGTTTATACTAAACTTGTTTGACATACCATTAGTGGATCCTCTGACCTTGACATTTATTGTTATCGTTGTTAAATCTTTACGTTAATATTTCATCTCAAAGTTCTCATCATCATCATCTTCTTCTTCTTCTTTTTCTTTATTATTATTGTTGTTGTTGTTGTTGTTGTTGCTGTTATTACTATTATTATTGTTATTGTTGTTCTTGTTATTGTTGTTGTATTATTGTTATTTGTAATTTGTATAACTAACCTCCCTGTAGTTCGACCGTGGTCTTGCCGGGTTATTTATTACTTCGACACTTCTGTACTTAGGTGAAGACATCAATCTTTTAGTCGTGTCACTTCAAAGTTTATGAAATTCAGAAGATCTAACAGGTTGACAACCATGTCTTAAACCTCCACTGACCTCATATGTTAAAATTTCAAATTCTCATAAGTTGTACCATAAACATGACACTTAACATGAGAGAAAATTCACAATTTGTATTAAGCACAATTTGAATCACAAAGCATTGTATTTTATTCTATATTAAGCAGTGATGCATATATTCAACAAAAAAAAAAACAGAGGTTATATTCATTTAACAAAAGTACTACTAAAAACAAAGCTTTGTGAATATGTGCCATAACTCCTCCCAAGTCCCACCTGTACAAGTCCTCCCTCTTTTCCACACTCATTCCTAATTAAACCTCCATTCCCGTATTCAAATATTCTTCCATTCACACCTTTTTTTGGTTTTAATTCACAATTCAGGAACTTATCAAGTGAAATATGGTTATATTCATTCAACAGAAGCACTCCTAAAAACAGAGGCTGTTAATTCAAAACAATGATAATTTAGTTCTCTTCCATTTCCAGCTTTGATGTTTTTTAACTTGATCGAAGCATAGTAAAAAAAAAATAATTAAGAAAAAAGAACTGAAATAAAATAAAATAAAATTATAACTTAATATAATTTTTCTAAATACTGATAGAAAAATAGAAGTAGGAAAAAAATATAAAGGCAGAAAAACAAAAACAAAACAAGAAAAAATTATGAAAAAATTAAGGATAACGCATAATAATCGACAGAAATTAAACACATAAAAAAGACTAAAATAAACACGATAATTTGAAAATATACCTGATGAAATCGATCAGGTAAAAAATCACGAAAATCAAGTTTGACATGGTTTGATCGATTTTACTAGTTTTTGAGTTTTAACTTTGATTTTACATGTTTTATGTATTTTAACTAACAAAATCAAACAATTTTACAAGTTAAATGCATTTTTAACAACCATACTGTATGATTAAATGAGAGGTATAGTAGTAATTGACTAACGAGATGATAAATATAAATAGAAAGTAAAAAAAAAAAAAGAGTGATTTGAAAATTGAAGGAGCAAATTGTGAGAGAGAAGAGGGGGAAAGAAGAAGATAAATAGAAAGGAATTAAAGAAAATAAGTTAAAAGGGTAATATTTATGCTTTAATAGGTATAATATGCTTCCTTTAGCTTTAAATTTTGATTTTGATGAATATTAGGGTTTTGAGAATTGTGTTTAGGGTTTATTGATGAATTAACTTGAATGTTATATGATTGATTATTGTGGGTAATGGATTGTTAAATTGAATTTGAGAGATTGTAGATAAAAGTGATAATTTTGAGTTATGGTTTTGTTTAAATAGTGAATTTGTGTTAGAAATCAAGGGATAACAGTAGGTAATCTGTGAAAATTCTAGGTTTGAGGTTGAAGATGATGAAAATCCAATTTGGTCCCTCAACTTGCAAAAATTACAGTTTCATCCCCAAATTTTAAAAAATTACAGATTGGTCCCTGGAGAATATTTCGAGATTCTGAAAGGAATAACATATGAATTATGGGCAGAATTAATGTATAGTCATAAAATTTTAAAACTTTCAATTTGGTCCTCCAATTTGACTCTAAAAATTTGGAAAGATTCCAGAATGGTCCCTGGAGCATAATTAGAGGTTCTGGACAGAAATGAGGATGAATTATGGATATAATTCCACTATAGTCATGAATTTATGATATGTTTAGTTTGGTCCTCTAATTAGACAAAAATTACAATTTGACCATACAAATATGATAAATTCTAGATTAGTCCCTAGATGTAATATTAGCTTTTTTAGATTGTTTTGATGAATAAATGATGGTTATTTAGTGAATTATTATCAACTCTTATTATTTGTTTTATTATGGATTAGATTTCTGAAAAATCGTTAAATTTTAGGTTTTTGAGAAAATTAACTAGTTAGTTCAAAAACATATAGGGTTATAGAATGCACCCTTAGTTAAGTGTGTTGAATAGGTTAAATATTCTTTCAAGTCATTCTTGAATATGTTTCTTTTGTATTCAGATAATCCTAATATTTTATCACTGGGACATTAGTAGGATTTTCTTCGGTGTCTGCTTTTGGCTTTTGTTTGCTTTTGAGTTAGGTGAATAGATAATTTTTCATATGCATGAGAAATATTATAAATATTTGATTTTTT